GGCCGCGGGCTTCGGGCACGTGGGCCTGGTCAAGCTGCTGGCCAGCCAGGGGGCCGACCTGGAGAGGAAGCAGAAGAACCTCAGGACGCCGCTGCACGTGGCTGTGGAGAGGGGCAAGTTCAGGGTGGTGCAGTACCTGCTGAAGAACGGCATCTCCGTCAACAGCCTGGACCAGAACCACTACAGCGCCCTGCACCTGGCTGTGGCCAGGGGCAAGTACCTGATCTGCGAGAAGCTCATCAAGTATGGGGCCAATGTGGAGCTGAGGACGGACAAGGGCTGGACCCCCCTGCACCTGGCCTCCTTCAAGGGGCACATCGAGATCATCCGGCTGCTGAAGGGCAGCCGCGCCCGGCTGGACGCCAAGGGCGGCATGGACTGGACGCCGCTGCACCTGGCCACGCGCTACGGGGACGAGCCCGTGGTCAGCGAGCTGCTGCGCTGCGGGGCCGACCCCAACACGGCCGAGCGGTCCCGCTGGGCCCCCCTGCACTTCGCCGTGCTCAGGGGCTCCTTCCTCAGCGTCATCAACCTCCTGGAGTGCCGGGCCGACGTCAACGCCAGGAACAAGGTGGGCCGGACCCCGCTGCACCTGGCCGTGCTCAAGGGCAACCTGGCCATTGTGAAGACCCTGCTGAAGGCAGGGGCCCTGCTGGACGTGGAGGACATCACGGGGTGCACGGCCCTGCAGCTGGCCGTGAGGCACCAGAGGGAGAACATCATCACCCTGCTGCAGGGCAAGGAGGCCTCGGGCAGCAAAGCTGGCAATAGGACTCTGAACGAAGTGAAGGTGCCCAGGCTCATCCCAGGAAGGACAGATCTGTAAATTCACCAGCTCTAAAATCTGGAGCATGAGCTTTCCCAAGCTTTCCCGTTCACGTTTAATGCCTCAAAGCACCTTGTCCTGTCCCCTGCTGATTGCAGGAAAATATTTGCCCTTTTTAAATTGACGTTTTTAAGTGTGAACACTCAGAGAGTAAAAGAAAATGAAGTTATTTGATGACAAGGTCTTTTCCAAGCTTGTAGAGCGTTTTGGCTTGGTTATACTCTATTCAGTGCTTTCCTACTGAATCCTTCCTGAGCAGGGATTTATGCACCCCCTGTTCATGCAGGCAGTGCTGAAGCTGTGCACAGCACACACAGCTTTTATTGCTTTCATTCCATGTTTTCCTACAGAGAAAATTGGTGTAAAATGGCCCTGGCACAGGTGGGAATTGAATCGTGAGATTCTCACCTGCTGCTGGCACAGCAATGTGTCAGATTTCCTGACATCTCCTTTCTGTAACAAGAATGAAATACAACAAGGCAGGGAGGAAAAATCACTGCTAGAGAGTATTGAAATGGATGCAGCACAGGGAACAGAAATTCCAGAATTATCACACACGAGATCTGGCTGCTTGCAGGTCAAGGTTTGAGTCGTGTCTCTGGGGGGAAATAATTCCTGGTTTCCTTCAGGAGGATGTTCCAGGGCTCAATCAGCCCTGTGAAAAACATCTTCTTGTGGGATTTGATTCGCTGGTGACAGTGAGAGCCCTGGTGTGCAGCTCTGACAGCCCTGCTGTGACTCCTGAGTCCCCAAACGTGCCTGCTGGGAGGGTGACTTGTCATGGCCTTCAGCTGGGAAGAGGCTGAAATAGAAACAAACAACCCCAGCTCTGCAGGGGAGCTGTTGTTGCCTGATAACGTGAGATTAAATGGGTTAAAAAGAGGGGTTAAAAAGCCAAACCTCTGCTAATGCGGTTTTCATTTTATATTAACTTAAGGTATTGATGTGTATTGTATTCAAACCCAGTTTTTCACGATGCTTTGGCATCAGAGCCTTTAGATATCATTTAAAATAAATTGTAATGAAATGATTCATTTTTAACATTTGCCGTTGGTGAAGTGGGGAGCTGGGCAGGTTATGAAATGAAATGCTGGTGACATTTTGGCTTGCAGAGAGTGTAAAAAATTGACTTTTTTACTGCAACCACAAAAAAAAACCCCAAAAATCTTGGCATTTCCCTTATTTACGTGCTTGTGATATTCCCTAATTTTCTCCAAGGAGGAAAGGCCTGGCTGGAGGAATTCTTGGGATGCTCAGACCTTCCTGTGCAGCTCCTTCCCTCAGCTTCAGCTCTATTGATTCAGCAAATGTCTCCCCTGCTCGGTGTCATTTGAAATATTTACCCAGAAAAGAAGAAATCCAATTGCCACATAATTCAGCAGCTCCTTTCTGTCCCCGCTCCAGCAGAAAAACAAAACTCAGCTCGTATGTCATGGAATGTTCTCTACAAGAGCTTAATTAAATTTATAATGAAAATAACAGGGGATTAAGAAGACACGAGGGAAATACATTGCTCTTGCAGAGCATTCCAGAGGTGATAGAAGCAATTTGCAGAGAAAATTACCTGTTTGCTGCTCAGTTTCTATAGAAATTAAATGAGTCTTTACAAACTCTGGAAAAGTGCATTCCAGCCTCCGCTTTGTGACTGTGCAACTTGCAGCTTATTTCTAAAATTATTCGTAGATCTCCATCCCCCCTCCCCTTTCTTTTTTTTTTTTTTCTTTTGCCTTTTTCAACTCCATTTCAGTCTTTTGTCCCTGCTGATAAATCTGCTGCTGATTATCTCACGTTCTTACCCAAAGTTCACAGCCTAGGCAGGGCATGGCAGCAGCAGGGCAGAAACCTCCTAAACAGCTTGTTTAGATTCCAAAAGATCAAAAATTATGGTTTTGGGGTACCCAGAGCTGCCTGGTGAGCAGGGTGGTGTTCTGATGTTGGCAGGGAGTTGTGGAATGACTCTGAGCATCCCTGGGCTGCAGCAGCTCCTGACATTCTGAACCACAGGGAGATTTCCAAACCACAGGGATATTTCCAAACCATGGGAATATTTCCAAACCACAGGGAGATTTCCAAACAATTGCTCTTCAAAACCCTCACAGAATCCCAGCATGGTTTGGGGTGGTAAAGACAGAAAACCAGAGGGTGGAAATTTAAGGTCCCTTCAAGCTGATCTTGTTGCAGCCCTGCTCCCTGCTGGAGTCACCTCGAACTCTGTAAATCCTGGGTGTGCTTGAGAGGAACAGCAGATTTGTCTTTCCAAACAAGCTGTGGGTCTGCTGGGGAATAAAACCAGCACTGGGAGAGAAAATAAACAATGGGAAGGATTCCACTGATTGATCAATGGAAAAAGAGATTTGCTTTTACAAATAAACTTCAGGTTTGCCAACAAACAAAATTAGACATCGAAAGAGGAAAGAAACAGGGGAAGAAAAACCCCTAAATTCCATAAGAATTAAAAATTAAACGGGAGGGTTATAAATTGGAGGGAAATCTTTGGGATCAGGTGTTCTGGGGAGTCTGAATCTCTCAATCTCAATCTCTCAGAAATGGGGAAAGAGAGAAGGGAAATGTGGCTGGAAATAGGGATAAAAAGAAGGCTGCATCCTCCAAAAATTGAGAGATCCCAGGGAATGCCCCATGGCCTCTCCCTTTATTGGAATGAAGCCAAAGGACTCCTCTGTCTCATTTTTGGACATCAACCTCTGGTGTTCGTGGGTTCATTTTCCTGACAGGCTGCCTGCACTCCCGCTGCATCACCTCCATGCAGGACACCTTTGGGAAAGGGATGGGACTGTCAGGAGCCCGTGTTCCCCACGAGCAGCACGCCAAGAAACTCAGAGCAAATCAATCAGCAGAGCAGGGGATGGTTTCAGGAGGGGCTGGCACTGATTTCCTAAGTGCTCTCTCAGTGCTGGATCTGACTGTAATATCAATCCTCTGATGTAAAATTCCTTTGAAGGGGAGATGCTTGTTGTGATGAAAACGTGGACGTTTCAGTCAGAAGTGTGGCTCTTCTGTGAGGGAATGCTCACAGGAAAATGCTTGGAATTGAATTTGGTTAAATCCACGTTTTGCATTGCTCCTGCTTCCCAGAGACCGTGATTTGTTTGTTTGGCAGTGCTGCAATTATGCAGATATGGGATTAAATTAAAATTAAAATAATGCTGCATTTTAGAGGAAAAGAGATCTGAATAAATACAGCTTGTGGGGGGGGAAAAAACCCTTATTTTTAGCAGAAATGCTTGTTTTTTTCCATAGCCCCTTAGGTGTGGAAAATCAAGATGTTTCTGACAGCAGTGATGTGAATGTAGGAGGCAGTGATTTTAAAGTAAGAAGGAATAGTGAATTCTCTGTGTTTCTTTTTCTTGCAAGGAGGTGGTTGTAGGCTCTGTGCTGTGGCAGACGTCAGTGTGAGACGTGCCTGGAACCGCTCAGCCTCTCCCTGGCCTGGCAGGATTCCTCCTGCTCTGCTCCCTCCCCAGGCCAGCCAGCACTGCCCTGTGCCCTCCCCGCCCCAGAGGGGATGAGAGATCTCTGAAGCCAGGGCT